ACAATACCCAGACCCCCTCTTCTCCCCACAACTACACCCCCGGCACAGACCTCTCTACCGCAGACAATACCCAGACCCCCTCTTCTCCCCACAACTACCTGCCCCCCTCCAACAATCACCGGGCTTTCTCCGGCGGCAACTACTAGGAGCTCCAGCACCACCGCCACAAACTCCCCCACCCCGGCGAGCCACCGGGCCCCTCGCTCAGTCCTACAACTCCCCGGCCCCCAGACTCCCAGCTCCGAGGCCCCAACCTGCCGCTGGCCCTTTCGGCCCCGAACCCCCGAAGCTCGGGGTTCCCAGCTCCTAGCTCCCGCTCCTCCACCCTCCCCCGCCACACACACACACACACACACACACACAGTCCGATCTCCAACTACCCCAGCCCAGTCTCCCACTCTTTCTCCAAGGTGTCTCAACTCATCGCCCTCCCCACCTCCAGAGCCAGGCCCCCGACCCCCTCCCCGCACTCCCCGCCGGGCTCCCGGGCTCGACCTCCAAGTTTGGCAATTGATTCCTCGCCCGCCCCCCGCCGGCTCAGCGCTCAGTGCTGGTCGAGAGCTCACCTTCGGGACTGGGCTCCGCCATGGCTTCCAGCATCGCCCCCTCCCCTCCTCCCGGCCCGGCGCCCCCCTCCCCTGAGCCGGGGATCCCGGTGTCGCCTCTGGTGCTCGGTGCTCCTACTGCTTCGCTCCGCAGAAGTGTCCGCCTCGCCCCGTTGAGACTCGAGTCCGCTAGCCGCTGCCGCCACCTCCCTTTACCACTGCCTCCCGCACTCCCGGACCGGGCCCCCTCCCCCCGCGCCGCCGGCCGCCTGCTCCCTCCTCCTCCTCTCTTCTCCCTCCCTCCCCCTCCCTCCGCCGGCGCCGAAGCGCAATGTACCAAGGGGCTTGTAGTCCGTTCTTGGGCAGCGGAAAGGGGACTGCATGAGCCTCCAGAACTTCAATTCCCAGCAAGCCATGGGCTAGCGCAGGCGCACTAAGTTGCTCCCCTCCCCCGGGAGTGGCGGGGAGATTGGGAGCAAGAAGGTAGAGCGGAAGAGCGCGCGCAGGCTCCTGGGAAATGTAGGCTTTCAGGGACCGAGAAAAAAGAGGAAGAAGGGATTAGCACTCTCGGCCACCATACTGCCTCATTCTCCAACTTCTTTATCCCACCAGGAACCGCCCCACTTCCGGCCAGGCGGAGAAATGACTGCTGGGAGATGAAGTTCTCCTGGTCATAATGGTTCCCTCCTCCCAGTGTTCTCCGTCCCTCGGATTCCACTCCCTGGATCCAACACACTGGCCCAAAATCTAGCCAAGTGACATGCAACTGAGGACAGTTCCTTTTACCAGTTCTCACACACGAAAATCTCTTCTTCCTTAATCCAGAATGTAAAAAATTTGGATGTGTTTATCTAATGCAGGTACTTTCAAACTTTCCCCTCAAGAACCCATAGTACGAAACGGTATTTTTTATACTTAATTTCATATACATGTTTCATGAGTATTCCATTCCATCACAACAAAAGCAGGCTCTTTATGCAAGCAAGGAAAAGCCCAACATCAACAGAATAAACCAAAATAAACTTCTGTTCCTCCAACCTGTATCCATTCCCCTTTCCCCACCACTGAAGCCCATGACGCCTTGGAAAGACTAAACAAAAAGGGGAGGGGAGCAACACAAAGCAAAATTCAGTTCAGCTTGGTGGTTTCCTCTTTATTGATGTGCCTCCTACCTCCCCCCCACAATTTCAGTCTCTTCCATCTACCCCCAAAAAAGAAGGTAGTGAAAGGAAGGGATTGTTGGGGTTCTGAGCCCCTTGGGCAATTAGAAAGGGAACAGAAACCAAAACAATCACTGGATGTGACCAAGATTGACAATCAAGAAGTCTAAAGCAGAGTGGGAAAGGCCAGCAGAGAAAGGGGAAGAAAGGAGAAAGGAGAGATACAAGAGGCCATTTCCACCATCACCCCTCCTAATAAGAGGGAATGGGAGAAAACCTCAAACATTAAGAAGTGTAGGTCCTGAAGAAGGGAGGTGGTGTTTGAGCCTGAAGGAGGAGGAGGAAGTCAAGGAAGGGGGCCACCTCTCTCTTCGTAGAATGAGACCCTCCCCCCCACCTCAGGGGCAGCAGCTTCACAGACCGTAGACACTTTCATCACTATAGGCAATGTATAGAAAGAAGTCTTCTTCGTGGTGTTCCTGGGGTGAAAGCAGAAACGTGGACTCAGTTACTTGAACTGCCCACCACCCAAATACATCCTTCAAGAACTATTCTTTTTGGTTTTTTTGTTTGTTTGTTTTTCTTTTAAAAGATGACCGGTAAGGGGATCTTAACCCTTGACTTGGTGTTGTCAGCACCACGCTCACCCAGTGAGCAAACCGGCCATCACTATATGGGATCCGAACCCGTGGCCTTGGTGTTATCAGCACCGCACTCTCCCGAGTGAGCCACAGGCCGGCCCGAGAACCATTCTTTTTGAAGACTCCCAAAACTCTCTCCACCTCTCTCTGTCATTGATTCCAACAATATCATCCCTTCAACAATCCTGGGCAAAAAGATCTCAAACTATTCTCTGCTGCCTTGGAATGAGGAGGTGGACTAGGGAGAGTCCCAATCAGAAACAGTTCGCCCAGGCCGGCCTGTGGCTCACTCGGTAGAGTGCGGTGCTGATAACACCAAGGCCGCGGGTTCGGATCCTATATAGGGATGGCCGGTTTGCTCACCGGCTGAGCATGGTGCTGACAACACCAAGCCAAGGGTTGAGATCCCCTTACCGGTCATCTTTAAAAAAAAAAGAAAGAAAGAAAGAAACAGTTCGCCCAGCTCACTGTTCTCTTCCCTTCTCTCTAATTCACACTGCTCCATCAAAACCCCCACCCAGGACTATCATGAAATTCAAGGGAAACAAGACAAGTAGTCCAAGAACTGATGACCTAATACTTTCTTCCCCTCAAGCTCTTCCTAGACTCCTCTCCAAAGCCTCCACTGCTTCCCAATCGCTATACCTGGTACAGTTGACCCATCGTGGCACTGGTGGGTGGAATGACATTGTTGACAAAGAAAAACAAGGCATCCTCAGCTCGGAGATGAATTCGCTTCCGGATCAAGAAGTAGAACTGACCAACTGCCAAAGATACAAGGTGCAAAAAAGTCACAAAGGTCATAAATGCCCTCAAGAACAGCTGCTAGATGAAGCCTATTCCCACAGAGATTATACTCCCACCCACAGGAAGCATACCTAGGTCTTGGGTAAGGTTCCTACCTGTGAGATCAGAAGGCACCAGGTATTTCTTTTTGTCCAGGTCTCCTATCCGAGCTTTGGGAGCTTTTTCTACTATCACCTGATAAAGGGAAGATTAAAATCAGGAAACATAAGGAACACAGCCCCATAGTTCCACCTGTCAAGAACTCAAACAACAATATTCCTAGCACTTAAATCTACCCCAGACTCACTTCTCTTTGTCTGCACACGCGGTGCAGCACTGAGTCCGGAGATCCTGACCCAAATGACTAGAGCTCACCTAAGTATCCAAGATCGATCCCTGAATAGGGTGTTCTAATAAAAAACTGTCTTAATCAGATGGGGACGACTGTCTGGGCCCTGGAGCTTCAGTCTCGCAAACCTAGCTGGCTAGGGGGATGACCATGTGAAATTCAGGCTGTCAAACTCCCTAAGGCCTCCACGCACACGAATGCCAAGGTTTCTCTCTCCCGTCCACATACCCTCACCCTCACCTCCACCGCTACCCCAGTCCTTTCACCTCCGGTCCTATGGTCAGTAGTTTCAGGTTCGCTCCCAACCCTGTCATAGCAGGCAGCCTGATCCCCGTGCTGCCGGTCCCAGACCCAAGCCCAGGCTGTGGCGTCAGCGCCCGCGCCCTCGGCCCTGGCTACTGTCCTCACCGGGACCCGGTCTGGATATTTCTTTCGGATCTTCTCGCCCTCAGAGCGGCGCTTCTCGAACGGATGCTCCTCTTTGTACACGAACTTCATCCTCCCGGGAACCGGGCTGGACCGGGCTGGGCTGAGGTAACCCGGGGGGGCCGGGACAGGGGGCGGCGGCGGCGACGGCAGCGACGCGCAGGCGGATTCAGCGGAGCGATCCACGAATTTGCGCCACTTCCCTATTCACCAACCCCGCCCCCGACCTTCGAGGGCTGCTCCGCCTGCTGACATACGCCACTAGCTCAGCGGCGCTAACGCCACTAGCGCAGCACCACCCACTGACCGCCCCCCTGACGCCACCGGCGTAATCGCTTTGGAATCAATTTATGGGCTACGCAGACGACCTATCAAAGGTAGTTAGGTTTCGCTATCGTCGAAAACAACTAAAAACCAATTTTCCGACTTTCCCCACCCTCCCTCACGAAGCTGGATATTAAAAGGAGTAGGAGATAGTAATCATAATATGAAGCTTGGTTCTCCAAAAGTTACTTTCGGAAATAAGAGGAAGGGCCGAGACAATTACAAGGATAGCTATTCACGAAACGTGTTGCTACGTTGAAGGCAGCCGCTGACACCAAAACAAAGTAGTACCCAAGTGGCGGAAACGGTCTCCAGAAAGAGGGAAAAAAGACAAGAAGATGTTTGGAGAGACGTACAGAACGTTTATGTTCCAGGAATGAGGGGACCAATACGGACTTGAAGGCGATCCAAAAGGCAGGGCCTCCGCTGGCGCGGAGGAACACGTCTAAGGTTTTCGCGAGATCCCGTGACTCAAAGGGCGGAGCGTCACGTGGCGGGTGCGAGGAAGTAGCGCCGGCTGCGGGAAAGAGGGCGCTGGGAGGTGGAGCCCGCCCGGGCGGAAAGAGGGCGCTGGGAGGTGGAGCCCGCCCGGGGGAGAGCGGGAGGCCGGGCGAGAGCGGGAGGCCGGCCCCGCCCGGGACCGCCAAGTCCTGGGCGCCAGCCGCCTGGGGGCAGTGCCCGCTTAGCCCGTCCACGTCAGTTCCCCAGGCGAAGCCCAGCCTCCTCCACCTACAGGCCCTTTCAGGAACCGAGTTTCTCTGTTCATCCTCCTGTATCCTACCGCTCTGAATCTGTCCTTTCACTCCCCGCCACGGCGCCCATCCTCTCACTCAGACCCTTCCCGCCAAAGCATCTGGCTTTGATGACGCTCACTCTCTACCCCCCTACTCATCACTTTCGCCCTACCACTCAGGCCCAACAGCTGTCTCTTTCTCCTCTGCTTCGGGGACAGGATGGACGTGAACTAAGTCCCTTCCCTTCATTTCCCAAAACCCAGAGAAGGACCTAGGACAGCTTTGGTTTCAAAGTTATAATACATGGTTTAAAAGAGGAAAAGAAAAAAAGGAGAGAAAGCTCGTTACAGGTCTGAGGGAATCTAGGGAGAGAAAAATAGAGGGAAAGTAAGGGGAGGGAACAAGTTAGGGGAAAATCCGGTGGCCCAAAATCCCAGTCTCCCACCCACAGCCCAGCCCATGGAGCAGAGTGAAGAATTAGATCTGTTTGTACAAGAGTTTTTTTAAAAAATCAAATCACAACAAAGCTGACTTGGCTTCTCTTTGAGCCTTCCAGATCACCGTACATCTGTCTGTCTCACTCTGGCCAGTCTTGCCTCTCCACCACAGACACTGTTTCAGCTCTCCTAGGCCTCCGTTTGTGTCCGTTTCCATGGAGTGTGAACACGAAGTTAAAGTGAGGCTGCTACAGAGTCTGACCCATGTGTCCATCCAGACTCCAAGTGGAGTGTAGGGCTCCCAGGGCAGAGAGGGGTGGGAGGGGCAGCCCCTGCCCAGGCAGTCCTCACATTGGACAGGGCATAAGATGGCATCCCAAGGCCTTGCCCTCCCTTTCCCCCCCACCCCAACTCAGGTGGAGGGGGAGCGGCTGTCACCAGAGCCTGTGTTGGTGAAGGTTTCGGCTCAGCACGGAACGAACATCAGCGGTGAACCTGGGATGACAATAACTTGCATTGGTAGGGTACCTTATAGTTGATATCCTCACAACACTAGTGTTAAGTTTCCTAACTAGAGATATGAGGCAGAAATTATCACCATTTTCATATGCTGAGACAGATTCAATTTGCCCAAAACCCAATGCCTAAAAGCGATGAGCTTTGGAGTAAGGAGATCTGAGTCCGAATGCATGCTAAGTTCTTAAGGGAAGAGATAAGTAAGTACAACAGGACAAACTTTTTTTTATTCCCTCTTGGGATTCCCCATCTCCTTTCCTCAGAAATGCAAGTGTCTAGGCTGGCCGGTTAGGTCAGTTGGTCACAGCACAGTGTTGATAACCAAAATCAAGAGTTCAGATCCTCTACCCACCAGCTGCCAAAAAAAGAAAAAGAAATCTGAGTGTCTAGAGCCCACTTTCCTTACCTGAGGGCATCCAGCATGGGGAGCAGGTTGAGAAGGGCCGTGTCACTGGGGTCACTGAACCAGGATTTGATGGGGATGGCATTGTCTAGGGTGGGAAAAATGCAGATGAGAAGAAACAAATAATTCAAGAGATATTGGGTGCTTTTCCCTTACTGGGGAAATGGAGCAGGAATTATTACTTAAAAATATCACCTCCCCCAGCCCAAATTCAACAAGCTAAGTAAAACCTTCCTGATTTATCCTCAAATAAAATTTAATCACCAGGTTTCATATTAGTATGAAGCTTCTAGTCAAACTCATTGCCATTGTGCATCACTTGAAAAAAATTTGATATGAGAAATCTGATTTATGAAATGGACATATAGGTGGAGAATGTTTTGCATTTGGACCTAAAGTAAACCAGGGAATCCCAGCTCTCAAGGACCAAGGCCCAGATCTCCTGCCTCCTAGTTCCCTACTTTCAAAATACTTTCTCAGGACTATGTCCTGGTCCTGCCAGACTCACCACCTTCCCCCATACCTGGATGGCTCCTGTAAGCCCCTGGTGAGTTATCCAGGATCACAATGCTGGAGAGGTCACTGTGGACCACAGAAAGGTCCTTGATGTAGCTGCCCAACTCCAAAGTGCAGTGCTGAAAGGCAGGGGATTATGCAGTATACCTCCCCCACACCCCTTCTCGGGCAATTGCTTCAAACACAGCTCCCTCCCTGATGGTCTGCCTCCCAAGCCTCCCATGCCTGGATTCTAGGCTCTTACCTGTCTGTAGTATCTCCTCTTGAGAATGCTTCTGCTATTATCCAGTTTATCTGCCACAGCAGAACCATAAATCTCCATGCTTGCTGTAAATACCACCAGCTCGTACCACTGGCTTACCTGAAATAAGATTGGGGAAGAAGGAAGTGTCACACGAGGTGATCATACATTTAGACATTCAGTTCTCTTTCACTACGAACCCAGCCTGTCCTTCAGGCCTTCCAGCAACATCAAATGTCTCTGGGAACACAATTCTGAACCTCCCCAAACCTCCAAACTCAGCGTCTGAGACACCCTACCCCCTTAAGATTCAGAGATGCAAGAACAAAAGAGCTGGATGCCTGTGGAAGAATACACTGATATCAGTAACACCAAGGTCAAGGGTTCAGACCCCAGCACTGGCCAGCTACCCCCCACCCCCCCAAAAAAGAATTACATCAGTACAACAAATGAACTTCAACTACTGAAAAACATTCTCCTACCATCCTGTAGCCTCCCCTCTCCAAAACTGCCCTCATCCATTCTCCTCACCCCTTCTTCCAAATCCCCTAACTTCCCAGGGCCCTAAAACCATTCCTTCATCACAGAGCTCCCTTTAGCTCCCGCAAACTCACCACTTCTAAGAAGAAATCCACATGGGGCCTTTTATGTACAAAAAACCGGACAGGATGTTTGTCTATTACCACCTGTAGAGGAACAGGGAAGGGCTGGGGGAAAGTCCTTAGCAACACAACACAGGCCTAGAAGACACCCCACCCACCCACCTCCCACCACCTGCTTCCCTATTTCAGGCTGACACTGGGGCCAAGGGATGGGGACTAGATGCTATGGACTGGAGAAGGGAGTCCAGGTCTGGGCAGAGAAACAGATGTAACCATTTCATCACTCCCCACCCTCACACACCTTGAGGATGAAGTCAGGAGGCGTTCCAGGCCGGACTGTGGGCCTCAGGACCCCATCATGGTGGGAATGAATAAGTGTCTCATCCAGATCCAGCACCAGGATCTTCCTCTTCACCTGGGCTGAACCACAATGGGAAGGGATAACACCGACTGATTCCAGCCCAGAGCTGGAACCCTACTTCACTTTAAAGGAGTCTTCCCAGTTGCATACTCACCTAGCCGATTCCGGGACACAGGAGATAAGGGAAGGATATCATATCGCACAGTTTGGTACTGAATTATCTAAGAATAGGAAGAGAGTGGATTAGAACCCTTGATAAGAAAATCTTCCCCAGTAACAGATAACACGTATTGAAAATTTACCATATGCACATGTATGTGATTTATGATTATTTCATTTAATCCTCAAAACAACCCTAATAATATTATTATCTCTGTTTTAAGGATGAAAAAAACTGAGGTTTGGAGAGATTAAATATCTTGCCTGAGGCCACGTAGCTAGGAATTATCTTATTTGCATCCCCAATTAGAATGAAAACTCCATGAGAACATGGATTTTGTCTCGATCATGGCTGTATTCCCAGTGCCTAGAACACTGTAGCAAGGGTGGTCAGTTAATATTAGTAGAATCAATGAAGCAGTAGAACCAGGATTGCCCCCATCCAGTCAGACCCAAGAACCTGCGCTCTTAACCAAGATATCATCCTGCTACACTGAGCAAAGAAATACATGGGCCCCCACCTTCATCCCAAGAATACTTTGAGACATATAAGAACAGACCAATTATCTTGATTTGGACATCACATATTACAGGTATTGATGTTCGATGCTGTACCCCACAGGTATGTACAATCAACTATGCTCCAATAAAAAATAAATTTTAAAAATAAACAGATTATTCTGAGGCAACTCCCATCATCTCACACCAGGAACTGAGAGCCTGATTCCTCAGTGGACAAGGAGGAGGCATCAGGACAGGAGGTCCTTGGGTCATTAAGGAGATTAGAGGAGGGAATCCAGAGGTTGTCAGGTCAGCTAAGTTCCTCTGGCTGGGGGCCACCAGGCCTATTTTAACCAACCACCTGTCCACTTCTGTCTCTACTAGCCAAGTCACAAGTTGCAGAGACCTCAGCCCTCTGAACAGGCTCCTTATCCTGGTACCCATGGCAAGGCAGAGAACACTGGAAAGCCCCACCTGCCAGGCTGACTGACAGGGTATGGAGAAATTCAGAGTGAAGTAAGGGCTGTGAGTGACAGGTGAAGAAGGGACAAGGACGTCACCACCTCAGCCTTCCAACTCTGCTTCTTCAGGCTTTCCCTAGAGGCTTCTATTTCTTAATACTCAGATCTTCCCAAGCAAAGTCTGGTAATTCCCTCTTCTGCTCTTTTCTTCTAAGGCACAAACGCTCTTCAGTCCATCCCTAGGCCCCAAGCTACAACAGAACCAGGCTCCCCCGCTGCAAACCAAAGGGCCCTCTCCCCCTAATCCGAAGGCATCTGCCCTTCTTTTCTCCCTGGGTCGTGCTGAGGGCTGAAACAGCTCGGGTGTCCTGTCCTGCTATCTCAGGTTGCACATGCTGGTCATGTAGGGAATGCTCCAAGCATCCGCCAGAAGCCGACAGGGGAAAAAAAAACAGATTGGAAGGGAAGGGAAGATAAAAGGCTGTGGGATCAGTGCTACCCAAAGGAGAGCAATTTTGGAAGTACACTCGCAAAACTGATGTGTTAGGGCATATGCTCAGAACAAGGGCAGTCAACACATAAAGAAAACCCCAGGGGATAGCCCCACACGTCTCAGCATCTCTGACCCCAAATTTTTCTTGGCTCCTAGCTCTTGTCTCAGGGGAATAGCCCTGCCTACAACCACAACCATCCAGAACAGTCCTCACCCTGAATCAGGAAGTGGAATGAGTAGACTGAAAAAGGAGAGAATGAATCCAAGGCCAGGACCATTCCCCCAAATCCATTAGGTCAACCATCATTACCACCCAGGGCTTTCTGAAAATTCCCTTGCCCTAGGCTGCCTCTACCTTGTTTTATTCTTTCAAATTTTTTTTTTTTTTTTTTAAAGATGACCGGTAAGGGGATCTTAACCCTTGACTTGGTGTTGTCAGTACCACGCTCAGCCAGTGAGCGAACCGGCCATCCCTATATGGGACCCGAACCCGTGGCCTTGGTGTTATGAGCACCACACTCTCCCGAGTGAGCCACGGGCCGGCCCGCATTCTTTCAAATTTTTTTTTTTTTTTAAAGATGACCGGTAAGGGGATCTTAACCCTTGACTTGGTGTTGTCAGTACCACGCTCAGCCAGTGAGCGAACCGGCCATCCCTATATGGGACCCGAACCCGTGGCCTTGGTGTTATGAGCACCACACTCTCCCGAGTGAGCCACGGGCCGGCCCGCATTCTTTCAAATTTTTTTTTTTTTTTAAAGATGACCGGTAAGGGGATCTTAACCCTTGACTTGGTGTTGTCAGTACCACGCTCAGCCAGTGAGCGAACCGGCCATCCCTATATGGGACCCGAACCCGTGGCCTTGGTGTTATCAGCACCACACTCTCCCGAGTGAGCCACGGGCCGGCCCGTATTCTTTCAAATTTTATTGAGATATGCAGAGTACAGACTGGAGAACCTCTGTATCCCAGGTCACTGAATTCTTCCCAGACTCCTTCAGAGGATTCTCCTCAGCGGTGATAACACAGGGGCACGTTCATTAAACTATGTTAGCTAAAGTAGCTTTGACTTGTAGAAAAGCTATGGGGGAGGAAACCCAGAGATGCTCAGGTATCCACAGTCTCTATTCCCCACAATATCCCTCACAATGCTAGAGTCTCCTAGGGAAACAAGTGTGCCCTCAGATTAATGCCCTGCAACTGATCAGAGCCATCTTCTGACAGGGACACTCAAACTTTAATGTGCTCCCTCCCACAACTAGAGAAGCCCATCATAAAAGCATTTTTTTTTAGTCCCAAGGTCACAATAAATCCAGATACCCACACTCACACTAAGAAATAAGTTTTCAGGGCCTTTTTGGAGGAGTTCCCTTAACGCGAACCACAGGGGTTTCTCCTTCACATCCAGGGCTTTTCCCAAGTTCCCATACTTGTTTCTCACATTTGTCCTCCTACTCACCCCCACCCTTGACACATAAGCGTGTCTCTCCCTTGTTATGACACCAAACACATACAGAGGTTCCAATAGGAGGAGGGGCTTTCATAAGCAACACCAACAGATCTGGCTGCCATCAAACAGGTGTCTCCTGCCTCTCGGTTTCTTTAGCAACTCCAGCTTTCTCGAAGAGCGCCCCACCCACCACCCAGCCCCCAAGAGTTGCCAAATCCTGTCTCATCTAGGCCCATCAAACCCCCCCCCAGATCTCGGCTCTACTCCAAAGGTCTCCCTCCTCCCCACCCCACGCCTCGTTTAGGGTGTCCTAACTCTATCAGGAAAAACCCCCACCAGGACTTCCTTCCTAGACACAAACAGAGGCCCAACACTTTCCAAAAACCCGTGAGCATCGCGGCCAGTGGTCCCCACCACCGCCAGCGCCCACCAATCTCACCGTGCGGATCTGCCTCCGCAAAAGGTAAATGAAGAAGCTCCAGAGCTTGGCGGCGAAGGCCACGAACGTGCGCAGCCCCAGCAGACACTGCGTCCGCATCATCCCGATGACCCCGGCACCGCCGGCCCCGGGGCCCCCGCGGCCCAGCTCCGCCAGCCCCCCGGGGGCAGCCCCCCGCCTCCGGGAGGGGGAACGGGGGCCCCGAGTGGTAGGAAAAACTGCAGAGAGGGGCACGGAGCAGGCAGCTCAAAAAGCCACCCCCGGCAAGGGGAAAGCCCAGCGGAACGGGGAGCTGGGGAACAGGCGTGGGCAGCCCGCAGGGGCCCACATGGGCGGGGAGTGGCACCGACCGTTTCGCGGAGGTTGGGGGCCGAGACAGGTCGGCCTAGGACGGGGTCCTCCGAGACCAGGAGGGAAAGGGATGGAGAATTGGGGGAGGGGTAGTGGGAGAGGGGGCTAGGGAAAGGGAGGGAGGGAGAAGGGAGGGGGAGGGGAAGGGGGGAAGCAGAGAGTGACCTGCTGCGCAGGCGCGCTAGGGGGCTGCCCGCGGGGAAGGGGCGGGCGGGGGCAGTGGCGCGCGGAGGGCTGCGGCGGCGGAGACGCCGGCTGAGCGAAAGAGGGGGGAAGGGGAGGGGGAGCCGAAGGGTGCGGAGCGCTGAGCTGGAGCGGCCTCCCCCTCCCCGAAGTCGGGGGTCCCTAGCCGCTGGGGAGCGGGGTTGCAGCCTCTGCAGCTGGATTTCCCACTCTGACAGGCGCCATTTTACCGCCCAGAGGGCTCCCTCCTCCTCTCTTCCTCCCTCCTCTTCCCCTCTGACACTACTTCCGGTAGTGACGTGTATTCGCGTAACCGGCACTAATGTTCCCCTACTCGGTCTATGGGGGTAGGGATAAGGAAAGCCGAGAGTGCGCCGAATAAGGCTGCACTATCACGCACGCGCGGAAGGTGATTGCGGGACCGGGTCTTGGCCGTAGCAGGCCCCGCCTCGGACGTCGTTTCCTCCGAGGCTAGTCCGGTAAGGGGGCTCGTGCGGCCTCCTCCCCCTCCCATCGACGACTGCCCCAACGGCTCTTCCCGCCCCAGCCTCGGTGAAAATAGGGGGCGTCGTCCCTACGTCCGTGCACTGGATCTCTGGAGGAGCTCCTGCGCATGAGCTCCCCTGGGAATACTGAACTTAATCACCTCTCATTCCAGACTGCCTGGTCTTAGTGGGAGGAATCGTAAATACCCCGCCCCTTTCGCCCGGAGGGAGCTGGCGGTGGACTGTGACGCCATCAGAGGGCGCCGGAGGAGGGTTGGGACTCGAGTCGGAGATGTTAGAGTCGCTGTTGGCCCTTGGCGGCCTGGTGCTGCTTCGGGGTGAGGGCTAGAGGCACAAGGGGTTCCGGGCCTGGCTCACGGAGGGAGGAAGGGCCATGGGTCACAGGCTAGGGATGGAAGTTGCGACGAGTTTGTGATGGGGAAGCCTCAGTTCTCTCACACTGTTTGTCCCCAGATTCCGTGGAGTGGGAGGGGCGCAGCCTCCTGAAGGCGCTTATCAAGAAATCTGCACTGTGGTGAGTATCCTGCAGCGTCTCCTGGTCCTGCCCTGTGCCTCACTCTTTGATATTCCCTCCTCATCTCTGCCTCAGTGGGGAGCAAGTCCACATCCTGAGCTGTGAAGTGAGCGAGGAAGAGTTTCGTGAAGGCTTTGATTCCTATATTAACAGCCGGTGAGTACAAATTGGAACTGACTTCATTAGATGTGGGACCTATCAAACTAAAAGAAGAAACCGTGACAAAAATTATAAGACACTGTGCTTATTTGGGCCAAGGGTGAAGTCTGCAGCCTGGGAAACACAAACCCCAGCTGCCTTGGATATGTGCTCCACTGGCAACAATAACAGATATAACAGATTCTAAAGGGAGAAGTTAAGGGTCAGTTCTAAAGTTGTTTGCCAAGAATTTACATTGCTCCACTAAAATAACGTGAGCTACTAATTGCCTATACATGGCTCTATGTATCATAAATTCCAGGAACATTGCAACAAGAAAGTGAGGGTTATACTGTACAACTAGTGCTAACATGTATACTTGTTGGTGGTGGCACCTGGCCTGGAAATCGCTGCCAGAATGTGCTTTTTAGCAAAATTCTCTGTATGTGTGCTCAGACAAATGTGAAGGAGACGTGATTGAAGCCTCATGCTGATCTCTGTGCCTGTTTTAGCAAATCTTGTGTTCCTTAGATTGGTCTAAGTCACTTTTATTTCTCCGACCTCTGTTGCTAAGAGACTTCCTTTACAACGACAAGCGTAGAATCTGGTATGTAGTACCAGTTACTTAAATATTCATTGAAGGAATGGATATGGGTCTTCCAGGAGCTAAGAATTAGTAAGAGGAATGATGAGGAATGGTATTTGGGGAACCTGAAGCAGAGACCTTAGAAGTTGAGAAAGAAATAGTAATAAAAGGCAGATAGTACAGTTTAGCACTAGAGGCAGTACTGGAGGATAAGAATAAACATGCTCTGCTCTTTGAGTTATTGGGAATCTGGTGGTACTTAATTCACGCATGGATTCCAAACTTGCATCAACACTGACTGCAAACTACTGAGGGACTTGTCCTAGAGATAAAGAGAACAGCATGTGCAAAATTAAGGAGGTGTGATAAGGCATATCTGTTCATGGGAAGTGGAGCTTCCTGCAATACCTGAAATCAGGCAAATAAAGAGATACCTGATTGTAAAAGGTCTTACAGAGCATGAAAAGGAGTTTAGGTGCAGTGGAGAGTCATTTGAAAATTTAGGAAGAGAGGGATAACATCATCTGTTAGAAACACTAGTCCAGTGACCGCCCTCTAGAGAGCAGATTGGAAGGGGACAGCCTGGAGACAGGCAGACCAGGTGGGAAGGCTGTGATAGTAATCCAGATTCACTCACTGGGTGTGTGTGTAGTGAGCACCAACCATAAACCAGGTGCTGTGCTAGGCACTGCAGACACAGCAGTGAGTAAGACAGACCTGTTTCCTGCCCTAAAGAATCTTAGAGAATAATGGTAGGAGGTGGCAGAGGCCTGGCTTAAGGCAGCGGCAGTAGGGATGGACAGTTTAAAACGTAAAAGAAAAAAGTAATAAAACAAATGTGAAAAGATTTTAGTGAGTAGAATTCTCAGGGCTTATTGACTGATATGGAGTAGAGAAAAGCATCCAGATAAAGAAGTCCCTGAACCCACCTATGTGCGTGGTCAGGATAGATTGAGAACCATTAATAGAATGCTTTCTATTTCCTGGTTTGGGCAGCCCAGAGGATGATAGTTTGTATCTGTCTGTTGAGCTCTAATTTTGTATCAGCTATTGTGATGGGGGTGGTGCATATGTTAAGATTGCATTCACAAGAGAATCAGAAGATAGAAAGGAGGTGTCTGGGAAAAAGTTCTGCTACAATAAAGCTTTCCCAGGGTTTCTAGCCCGTGCTTATCTACATTTCCTGAGCTGTTATTTTTATCTGTGGTAAGTACCCCATGACTTGATTCTTCACTTTCTCTAAGCTGTTCTATAGACAGGAATCAGTCTCATGTCTGTTACTTTCTCCTTATCCATCCGGAGAATGATTTAGTATGTCAAGGACTGTGCTAAAGGCCAAGAGATTAGCATCCCATTTCTTGAATGGAGAAACTGAGTCTTAGAGAGATTAAGAAATTTACCAGTTAGGTGACCTTGGGCAAGGAGCAAAGCCAAGCTTGGAGCTCAGGCTGTTTGAAAACAATGTTTGTGCTCTCAGTCATTGTATGCTATCTCTGAGTAATAATCTTTCACTAATATTTAGGATATTAATGAAAATGGAGAAAACATAGCCACAAAAATCAGAGGAAGTTGAGATTGCAGGGAAAGGGCAATATTATGATGTCTTCTATTTTCTTTTTGCAGGCTTGTTTATCATGACCTCTTCAGAGACCCTCTCAACTGGTCAAAAACTGGGGAGGCCTATCCTGGGGGACCCCTGGGAGCCTTGAGAGCCATGTGTAGGAGGACAGATCCTGGTCCTGTCACCATTGCTCTCGATTCACTCAGCTGGCTGTTGCTTCACCTTCCCTGCACCACACTCTGCCAGACCCTGCATACTCTGAGCCATCAGGACTCCTGCCCTGGTGAGATCCCTCCTTTGTTACTTCCCCTCATACATCTCCCCCTGCCAAGGGATGTGTCCCGTTTTCTTTCTACCCTAAGAAGAAACATCAATAATCTCCAGTCAGACCTTCTCTCATCTCTTTGACTTATATTTTCTGGTTTTTGACTTCTCCTTTATGCTGTCTTTGATGGCTTTTTTTATTCCCCAGGTTCTTTTTTACTCACTCATTTCATTCATTCATTCATTCAACAAACTAATAATTAAATACATACAGTGTGTCAGATACTATTCTAGATAATGGAAAAATAAAGACTAACTTTGTAGTTAGTTTCCTGCTCTCAGGAACTAAAAGTCCATAAAAGATACAGGCAAGGGCCGGCCCGTGGCTCACTCGGGAGAGTGCGGTGCTGATAACACCAAGGCCCCGGGTTCGGATCCCACATAGGGATGGCCGGTTCGCTCACTGGCTGAGCGTGGTGCTGACAACACCAAGTCAAGGGTTAAGATCCCCTTACCGGTCATCTTTTAAAAAAAAAAAAAAAAAAAAAGATACAGGCAAATAGGCCATGAATATATAGGAATATGCATAGGGTACCTTAAGGAAGGAACTGTTTTGAAGAGCAAGGGGTCAGCCAGGCAAATTTGTCCCAGGCAGGGGCAATGGGACTAGCCCTGAGGTGCACTGTGGATACCGGAATGGCTTTGGAGTCAGACACACCCTGCTTTATGTTAAGGTGCTTGATCTCTCAGTGCTTCAGTTTCCTCTGTTTAAAAAAAAAAAAAAATGGGGTGAGGGGATCTGGCTGGTTTAGTTCAGTTGGTTAGAGCATGGTGCTAACACCAGGGTCCAGGGTTCTATCCTTGTACCAGCCAGCTGCCAAAAAAGGGGGAGGGGTGTTGGTGATAGTATTAGGATGAGCCACTTAAAATTGCCATTTTTGTAGATTAAAAATTGTCAAATATCAGTAATTTCAGTGCTTTGACATAAAAATACTGACCTTTATAAGGATTAAAATGTCATGTAAAAGTTTTTAGTGCCTGACACTCTGTAAATGCTCCCAAAAAGAGGAGAAAGGGAGGGAATCAAAGACACTGACTGAGATATTGACAAGTTCCAAAATCTGCAAGTAGTTCAGTGTGTAAGAGATGAGGCTGAAAACTAAGTGGACACCAGATGCTGAAAGTGTTCATTTCATCCTGAAGGCCTTGAGCTGCTGAAGGATTGAAGTCAGAGTGGTGCCTTGGTCAGATTTACATTGGAGGGGGCCAGCCCATGGCTCACTTGAGAGAGTGTGGTGCTGATAACACCAAAGCCTATATTGGGATGGCCAGTTGCTCACTTGGGAGAGCATGGTGCTGACAACACCAAGTCAAGGCTTAAGATCCCCTTACTGGTCATCTTTTTTTAAAAAAATGATTTACATTGGAATAATAAAGTGTATTAAGGTGTGGGCTAGAAGAGGCTCAGAGCAGGGCAGTGAGATTGGCCAAGGTAAGCCAGGATTGTGACAAAGCCGTGATGGAATGGGAGCCTCTTCTTCCCTTTCTCCTCTTTACTTTTTGCAATCAGGCCTCCACCCTGAATGCTCCCTACTGTCCTTCGTGCCCTACATTTCTTGTCCCTCTCCAGGTGACAGCTCCCCAGTGGGGCAGGTGCGTGTGTTGGGTCTGCTACATGAAGAGCTTCATGGCCCAGGCCCCGTTGGAGCACTGAGCAGCCTTGCTCAGACTGAGGTGACCCTGGGCGGTGCAATGGGCCAGGCCTCAGCCCACATCCTCTGTCGGAGGCCCCGACAATGTCCAACTCATCAGGTCAGGAGAAGCAATGGGGGAGGACTGGAGATTGGGGTCAAAGAGAGGTGTAGCATGATGGGAAGAGCAATAAAAAGGCTGATGTGTCTGAGTACTTCCCTGTGTTTTCTGTTACTTACCTCATTTCATCTTCACAGCTACCCTGTTTTATTGTTTTATTATTCCCATTTTGCAGACTGGGAACCAAGTTTAGGGAGGTTTGAATTTAAGTTACTTACCCAAGGTTATAAAGAGTAAGTGGTAGAGGTGGTATGAATTCAAGATTGCCTGACAGAGCTTAACCTGTGAGCTTAAACAATGAAAGATACTTGTCTTCCCGGAAATGGAAAAGAATTTTGAAAAGACTGGGTGTGGTTACTAGGGAGAAGAAGGAACAAGCCCATGTAGAAAAACTTTAAAGGAGAGGTTAGAAGTTGAGGACAAGAGCTGAAAGCAGCCAGTTACATAGGTGATTGTGGGCTGAGGTTGTGAGGTCATGAATTCTCTGTGGTTTATTCAGTAAGATGGAAAAAACCTTTTTAATTCTGCTTCTTCTCCCCAGACTCATTGGTTCTCCATCCTTCCTGACTTCAGCCTGGTTCTTCAAGAGGGGCCTCCCCTAGAGCTCAAGGCCAACCCATATCCTCACACATCTCCGGTATCTAAGAGTACCAGAGCCAGGACAAGGGAACAGAGCTTAGGGTCTGACAAAAAGAGAAAGAATAAAAACAGCAGAGGTTGAGGGTGGGGTCGGGGATTCCACGGATGGATGGGGCAGAGCGGCAGCATCCTTTGTACTTACAGGTGGACGCTTCAAGTCATTTGACCTTTAACCTTCACCTGTCCAAGAAAGAGAGAGAAGCCAGAGATAGCCTGACCTTGCCCTTCCAATTCAGCTCTGAAAAGTAAGGTTGGGGTATATGTGCTTGGATCCTTGAGTAGAGCCCAGTACCTGGGCCATAGAGAGGTGGGGAGACAGCAGGTTATTGATTAACCTCTCAGACTTTATAGGGGCTGAAGTCCACCTCCAGAACCAAATCCAGGGAGTGGTTCTCTCCTTACCCATACCCCACCCCCCAGTGGCAGAGGGCCTTTATGTTTCTTTCTCTCCATTAAAGCCTGGGGTCCTAGCTCTGTGCTTGTCCCCAGAGAACTCTGGGCCTGGACTTAGCTAGATCAGACCCTGGGGAGGTGACCCTATCTCCAGGCAACAGTGGTAGGACAGGAAGCTATAAAGGCGTGGCAAAGGCTGTTGAACAGGGCTTAGGTGCCTGGTGTTCTGTGCCAGTGTGTGGGTGGTTGAAGCAAGACTACAGCAAGATCTTTGCCCTCGAGCTGCTAAGAACTTATGGTATTGTTAGGAGAGCAATACAAGAGTATCTTTCCCAGTATGAGATGGTGCTTCAGCACTAACTAAACATGGAGGTCAAAGAAAGGGAGTTGGACAAAGAAAGTGACACAGAGTTCTAAGAGAAATTGCTGAATGACACAGTCACTTGGAACTGGGTATCCAGACCTGACCCGTTAACCACCCTCACCAGCACCAATTCTTCCCCCCTCAGACAGCAGGCTCTCCTGCACTCTGGGCCAGGCCAGGCTACCAGCCACATCTTCTATGAGCCAGATGCTTACGATGACCTGGACCAAGAAGACCCAGATGATGACCTAGATATTTGACTGGCCAGATGTGACTGGACTATAATTGGAGGGGGAGGGGGCAGACCTTGGGCGTATCCATCTGTTATCTGTGTTGGCCTTACCTTGTCCCTGCCCCTCCTTTGTTCCCTGTGTCTATGGAGACCCTGCCTTGGGAGCTGTTGTGCAGCAGCTGTTCAGGACAAAAAGTGGGGTGAGGGCATAGGGTAAGGTGAGAGTAAAACCCCACTTGTGCCAAATAAAATGTTTATTTTTTTTATTATAAAAAAACCCTGGTAGCTATTTAAATGGGGGGGGGGGGTTTACAATGGATAAGGGAGGCCAAGCACCTGAGTCTTTTAGAGTTAAGGTGTTGGGGCCTGAATAACAAAATGAAATGGGCAGGGACAGCTGTGCAAACCACTGGTGCTCTGTGATCCTTGAACTGAAGTAGGTACACTTTAGTTTTCAAATTCCCTGCAAGGATTTGAACAGAAAGCAAGCAGAGGCCCTGAAGGGAAGAAAAAGCCTACCTTCCAAAAGTTATTTTTTATTACTGTACAAAAAGCAGACCCTTTCTTTTTGTTTCCCCCACCCAACAACCCAGAGAACTGTACATGGTGTTCAGGGATAGAGTGTACAGGAGGCCTTTGTCCTGCATCACACCCTTAGGCTGAGTTCTCGGCCCCAGGTCCTTTCAGGTATCTGAGCACACCTATAACCTGTCAGGCTGAGGCAAGGGGGTCCCAGATCACACATATTCCTTGGCAGAGTTGGGCTTAGGGTAGGAGCGGGGTGCACGGTACCCAGCTTTGCTTTCAGTGCCAGGACAGGACCAAGACAGCAATGCACCTCCCAGGAGGACCAGAGCAGACCCTGCCCAGCCAATAAAGATGGCAGGACCAAACTCGTACCTGTGGAGAGAAGGGATTGGGGTCAGAAATGCTGGCCTGCCGCTACCTCCTCCCTATTCCAGGACTCCAGACCTGTTCCCTCAGGAGGCAAGGCTCCCAGACTTACTTCAAATTTGTGGGGACGGAGGAGCTATAAAAGTCTGTGACAATCTGATTCCCATACCAGGAGCAAGCTATCAAGGCAGCAAGACCTGGGGAGAGAATGAGGATTCCAATATTGTGAGCCCCCCAACCAGCACCTTGCCCACCTTCACTCTGGGGTAGGAGAGGAGAGCCTTCGGTCCCGCCTTGGACCTGTGGCTCACCTGCTACGATGAAAATGATGCCCCCGGTCATGGCTATACGGGCCTTCTTCACTTTGTCGTCTCCCCCACAGCGCGTGCACTTCATGCCCATCGTGGCCACAAACATAGCCAGGAAGCCCAGCACCAGGGATATCACCATTAGGGCTCGAGTGGCCTGCAAGGCCGCTGCGGGGAAGGGGAAAGGACGCCGTCATTGCTTCAGTCTTCGCGCCGCCGGCCGCGCCCATTAAGCCCCCGGACCCTCGTCTGCCGGGCGCTGGGCTGCACGATAGGCCTGGGGCCCCCTGTGTGTCCAAGGCCCGGCCCTGAGGCGGCAGTTCCCGCCCCTCGCGACACCGCGGCCTTCCTGCTCCCGCCCCGCCCTGTGCTCAAGGACCCGCCCGGGGCGCCAGGGTTTCGATGAAACTGTCCCGAAGCGGGGGAAGGGTGAAAGGGGGCCGCGAAGAGGCGCGGAGGCAGCGGCCGGAGTCCCCGGACTGGCCGCACATCCCGGCCCGCGTCCCAGCGCTGACTCCGCTATCGAGGCCACGGGGTTTGTGGCTTCGGCTAATCGGCCGATAAGATTAGAGGCAGCAGGCGGCGGCCCACGTCTGACAGACGGCACGGCCCTAAGGTCCTCGGCGCCTCCTCTGCCCCGCGCCCCCTTTTGTCGAGAGAAAAGGGCGGGAGATGACGGAGGCCATTCAAGCACAGGGCGGTGGGGGAGGGGACGACCCCGGCCTAGGACTGGGCTTCCCCAAGCTCCAGAGGAGGCTCGGCTGGGGGCGAAAGAGGAGCTCAGGCGGCCGGGGGCGGGCCCTCGTGCAGCCGCCAGAACCCCGGCCCCTCTGCCACGGCCCCACCGCTTCCGCTTCCTCCTGCTCCCCGGCCACTCAGGGCGCCCCCCTGGGCCCGGCCCCTCACCCCAGGCCGCCACCTTGGCCTGGGGCGCGTCCGCCCCGTCGGTCCCGCGGCCTTACCGGACAAGGAGAGCACCGAGTCGTACGTTTTGCAGCTCATCATGCCCGTGCTCTGCGTGACGCAGTCCATCCACAGCCCCTTGTACATAGCCTGAGCCGTGATGATGTTGTCGCCCGCGTACGAGCTCATCTGCCACTGCGGGATGGCGGTGCAGGCTATCAGGCCCACCCAGCCCAGCACAGCCATGGCAAAGCCCAGCAACTGCAAGCCCGAATTGGCCATTTCCGCCCTCAGAAAAGACTGGGGGCGCCGGGCGGGCGACCCTACAGTAGAGAAAACAAAACTTGGGGGTCAGACCCACAAAAACAACTTGGGGTGGAGTTTTAAGTCACCCCCCAAAAAAGTTTTTGGCCAGGTGACTGCAAATCTTGTCACCCGAAATAACTAACACAAATCGACCCCTCCGGTGGAGCGAGCGATGGTCTCACAGCAGAGAACAGCTACGCCCGGAGGAGAGCTTCCAACGAAAGCGGTCCCCGAAGGCCAGGCGGTTCCCCCCGCGCTCTCCGCGACCCTACCCCCACAAAAGGTGGAGGGGCCGAAGGGGCGCGGTCCTGTGGGCCCGAGGCTGCAGTGTGCGGGAGAGGTTGCTGCGCGGTGAGCCGGCAGGTGCGGGCAGACAGGTGCAGCGCACCTGAGTATATATGTAGGGCGTCGGGGGCGCGCCCCCCCCCCGCGAGCAACGGGAGCGCGGGAAGGGGGGCGGGACCGGAGGGGCGGCCGAAGGTGACCTGACGTCACCGAAGGGACACTCACCTGAACCGGAAGTCCTGGCCCCCACCCCTCCTTGCCCAGGTGAAGAGGAAGAAACCTGAGCACCAGGGTCACACCCCTTACTTTCCCGATTTTGACCGCCGGTAGGGAGGAGTCCCAAACTCTGAGTCAGCCCCTCCGGACTGGACTTCCCCCGGGCACCACGGTGCCCCTTCCCCTCTTCCCGACAGGTGCGCCTGGGACGCTGCAGAGCCAGAGATGGGAGAAGCCCCTACCCGGCCTGGGCGCCGCCCTACCCTCGACAGTTTCTGCCCTAAGTGCTCTTTGTCCGGCTCTACTTTCGCCCCCACCCTCTGCCGTTTCTCTTCTGTCTCCTACCCTAGCCGATCCCACCCTCAGGGGCTCTGGCCCAATCCCTGAGAGTCGTCCCCTTCAGCAGCCCTCTTGGAGTTTCCACTCCAAGAAACACCTTCCCAGCACCCTCTCTCCTTCACTGTCTGGGGTCTCGGGTTCTGCTCTCCAACAGACACCGGGCTTCTGGGCCTGGCTCCCCAACAACTGCCACCTTCCGGGCCCCCATGCCAATCCCTGGTGTGATTTAATTCCTGCGTTCCTCACACCCCACCTCCCTGCCTGTCACTAACACCTCCAGCATCAAGGGTCCCTCTAGCAGAGGGAAGAAACCACTGAGGCCAGAAGCCAGCAGAGGGTGGGGAGCAGGGTAAGGCCTAGGGCAGTCTTGGCCACACCCGTCATTCCCCTCCCTTTCCCTTCCAGTCTTTTCAAACCCACCCTCCACTTTTCCCACACACTCCCCCAGCCACACACATTTCTCTTCCCCTCACTCTGAGTCTGGCCTGGCCTATGTGTGTTCGCCCTTCCGTCCCGGTCCCCTCACCGTTCTGTCCTCCTGAACATCTGGCACATCTGGCTCTCCAAGGTGGCCTCTGATTTCGGCCCTGACTCCCACCTCACCCTCACATTCCTGTCTTCCCAAGCTTGCCGCATCTTTCCTCCACATGTTTTCCAAGCATCCGTCTCGTCTTTGAGCATCTCCCCCTCCTGCCTTTTCCGCTTTGTAGCTTCCTATTGCACTCCCTCTCTTTTAGTCTACCTTTGTACCCTGTTTCCAGCCCCCTTGGAGCCCAGCTTCACTGATGAGTCTCCTCATCTTCCAGGGGTGCACGTCACTGCCCCCTTCTTGCCCCTCTCCTCTACCCGCTTCACTCTTCTCAGATTCACACATCTTTCTCACTCTGGCTCTCTCATTTCATTTCCCTCTCTTCATTTTTTCCTCAACTCTCACATTTCCCGTCTTTAGTCTTCCCTCTCAAACATTCTCTGTAAATCTTTTCTTCATTTATTTGGTAAACACTTTTTTCTTAAAAGATAACTTGTAAAGGGATCTTAACCCTTGACTTGGTGGTGTCAGCACCACACTCTCCCAAGTGAGCCACAGGCTGGCCCCCATTATTCAGTAAACACATTGAAAGCCCCTCATGCTAAGCTAATTAACCTGCTTTTGCATAAAATACATAAATTCTTTGTTATTCATTTTTATTGTTGTACTTTTGGATTAATGGAGACAATTTTAAAAAGGTGCCTTCCAGCTCTAAAATTCAATGTTTCCTTACTTAAGTATATCCAACTTCTCTCCAAGCCCACTGCCATCCTTCAGACCAAGCCATCATCATCTCTTGCCTGGACACTGACACTACCTCCAAACCAATCTCCCTGCTTCCACCCTTGTCCCTCTAAATCCATTCTCTGGAGTGACCTCTTTTTCCAAACATAGATGTTGTCATTTCCTGCTGAAAAATCTTTCACTGGCTCTCTTGTGCTCCTGCAGGTAAATGCCATACCGTGGCCTTCCTGATTCTCTGTGCCTCAGCCACACTGGCCTTCTCTCTGTTCATGAAACATACTACATTTCTTCCCACTAACATGCCTTTGCACACTCTGTTCTCTATGCCTGGATGCTCTTCCCTAGCTCCCCCACCCACCTTCCTCTACTCAGCTAACCTACTCGTCATTCAGTAAACTATCAGCTCAGCTATCACTTCTTCTTTTTTTTTTTTTTTTTTTTTTTTTTTTTTTTTTTTTTTTCC